CTTGTGGCGCGCAAATAGCCCTCCCAAAAAGTGACTGGTTTTATGAAGGAAACCAATAAATCCACGTTTGTTACGACGGCGTGCTACATGATGTAGGTATTCATCAATGACATCTTCTATGTCAGCGGTCATCTCTCTTGTTTTTTTCACCCAAGTTTTCACACCACTGCTCCTGTTTGCCCTTTCTGCTTTCGCATCTGCATCCTTTAGGAAAGACTTCATGCACTCTAGGAGATCTTTTATACTTGTAACGTCGTCATGGATGCCTCTCAACAAATTCCCTTCTTCCCTTAACAGTGGAACCAACTTGTCAATGACAATGTTCACTGCAATCTCTGCCATCACTCAGCTAGTGTGCTCTGAGAAAACAAAAATAAAGACAAAAAAAATAATGTACTAGTCGTATTAGAGGATAAGTCGTTGAACTAATTCTAAACTTTCTGTTATCTTGTTCAAGAAAAAAGAAAATAAATAGCACAGCTGTATTTTCTCTTATGAGTTAATGATCCAGATCTTGACTCTTGAGCTTGACTTGCATATAAAAAAAAACTGTCTTCAATAGCACTGCGATCAATTTATCACTAAATTAGCTGATGGTGTGGGGATGATGTTATCAGTTTAGGTAGAGGTAAAGCCTAATCCAAATATAATTAGCCAAAGAAATTTGAAATATAAAAAACTGATGAGAAAATTAAAGATAGAACAAAATGGGTGTTTGAGAATACTAAGAAAAATCAACAAAATAATCAAGTAAATAAGAACATAGATCTAGAGAGAAAAGTGACAGCACTTACGAGAAGAGAGAGATGAAGCCAAGAGAGGAAGAGGACGTGCGTTGGAGAAGGGAGCAGAGGAGAGAGCTCTACCACTAACTTCAAATGCTGCATAACATTTACCACTAACTTTAGGTAAAGGACCTTCAATTATTTGGGTAGGAGAGAGAGAAAAGAATCAGCTTTTAGTCACTCAAAGACAATCAGAGAGGGGGATGGCCTACTTCTTTAGTTAGTGGGTGGGGTAAAGACTCGGATGGGAGGCTGCTCAACGTTCCCATAAATTAATCACTTCATGTTCAACCAAAACTCTCTAATTTAATGACAACTTTTTTTCTTGTTCTTATTGTTTATTTAGTTTTAATAATTTGTCATTAAAAAAACATCTTTAAAATAATTTGGCTTGTTTTGGTCCCATGTGCGACTATGCACATATAGATGACGCGCTTATTGTCACAAAACAGAGAAGTACATGAAGGAAGATCAACACCCTTAAAAAAGAAAGAAGGCAGCTAAACCAAATAATCTCTCCAACCAAGAACCAATCAAAAAAAAAGAATCACCAAAAAAAGATATAAAATCCAGTAGTTGAATTCATGGCCACCAATTATATCTCCAGGTCCAGCCCAATAAGAGAAGGAGTAAGGAGTGAAATTTAAGGCCACCAATTCTAATTGTTTACTGAATCACCCAACTTCTGCAATTGCTTTCCTTTTTCTTTTGGGTCATAATCCTCATCAATGAACTTTACCATACAAAGCATACAAAGCATAAATTTAAGTTCTTGACTAATATTTCATCTAAATGTAGGAAAACAGATGATAATTGCCAACAGCAGCCGCGATATCATTCATCATATTAATTCTGAAGGAAATGCATTAATAAGCAGACAACCATAATCTTTGCTTGAGAATACCAAGTAAAATCAACAACATAATAAAAGAAATAAGAATATA